ACACCCTGGACGGGTCGCAAGTCCATCACAGGGCCACATAGAGACAAACGAGACAAACAACCATTCACTCTCTCACTCACACCTAAGGACAATTTAGACTTACCAATCAGCCTAACATGCATGTTTTTGGACTGTGGGAGGAAACTGGAGTACCCGGAAAAAACTCACGCATGCACGGAGAGAACATGCAAACTCCACCCAGAAAGGCCCCTGGACCGGGGTTTGAACCAAGGACCTGCTCGCTGAGAGGCAGCAGCTCTACCAGTTGCGCCACCGTGCTGCCTGATAACTTCATATTCAGTTCAAATCATTTTATTATATAGCGCCAAGCCACAACAGAATCATCTCAGGGCACTGAACAAAAACATTCACATACATTATAAATGCCAGTTGCGGTAGTACAGTTATTTCAGAAGGAATGTTAAAGTTTTTCTTTAGATGTTGGTTTCATTTCCACAGATTTTTTCAGTTCTTGCACCTGACAGTTTTTAGAAGTATTTGTTTAGTTATTGAATCCAGACCGCTGAATCATTCAAGCAGTAAAAAAGACTTAATCAAAGGCCGGACCAAAGTTTAAATATACAGAAAACTGAGGAGGGAAAACAGTTTTAAGTTGCTTTTTAAGTACATTATTTTTTTTTATTTACAAAGACTCACCATTTGTTTTAAAGTTTACTAAAATAAAACGCCAAAGTTAGGACTTTCTGACAAAAATAAGGGTTTTTGCACCAGTGGTCATTCCTAAGGAGCCATAATTTTTGGCATAGCATGGTGTCCAACGAGCCCTTAAAATTTATATGAACTCTAGAACAGAAGGGGAAAAAACTTTTTGTGTCAAGAATAATAAACTATTCTTTAGACAAGTGTTGCGAAAGAAACAACTTCAGGAATCAAGTAAACCAAAGATCTGGCACAGGACCTGAGAGAGGCATAATGTTTCCGTTAATCCATGTTTCTGGATGCTAAGACCCCATAACTGCTTAGGAATCATCTTGTTGGTGCAAAATATTAGTTTTTATGTTAAACTGTGTCACAGTAAAAAAGCTAAACTGATGTTTAGACACAACACGGGTTCAAGGCTCGAGTTGGATGCTTCCTTTAAATCAAAATATGGCAAAACAAGAAGTGGCTCAAGATTTTTGAACAGAACTTGACATAAAGTCAGTTCTATGAAGGTATAGACACATAATTTTAGTTATTTTAGTTATTTTAGTCATTAGTTGCCTACCTCTGCCTACATTGCACCTGCCTCAACTCTGTTCCCGTGTGTTTGACCTCTGTTTGACCCCTATACCTGCTCTGTTTGTGTTAACGTTCTTGAGACGGGTTGGAGACGTCTGGGACTATTTTGCGAGACAATTTGTGTGTACACATTTTGCAATCATGTTGAAAATTGAGGCAACAAGATTGTGCAATTTTGCGATTCACCCAAGGATTTTGAGAACCTCTGCATAAGTTTCGAGACATTTCGGATACTCCCTCGCAAATATTATTCTCCAATTAGTCCCAACAGTTGCAGCCCAGTGAGCCACTCACTATAGTCTCCAGTAAGTAAAAAGAGAGAGTGACTGGTTTGAGAACAGGTGACTGAGTTGTTCTACATTTGTACCTTTTAAACCCTCCGACAGTGTTTTTAAATCATTGGTAATCTGCATTTTAAAGCTCCATCCAATCTTCTTCACTCCATTAGAATGAATTAAAGTTGACAGAACATCCCAGTGCACTTCTGAATTCATCCAGCTGCATCTGTCTTCTGTCACATTATCAATAAACACGAACAACTTAGTGTCACTGGAAGCCATGCTCACATCACCTTTAATTGTATATTTTATGCTTTCAAGATCGCACCACAACTTTTTATAAACCTTATTTACTGCAGGTAATCCTAGTTTCATCCTCAAATAAATTCTGTTTCACCTCTTAGGATTTATGTTTGGTTAATGTCAAAGTAGTCTTTCACTACCGTATTTCTCGGACTATAAGGCGCACCGGATTAAAAGGCGCAAGATCAACGCGTTTGAGTTTGAGGGAAGGTCGTAGCAGAGCACAGTCCAGAGCTCCCCCCCCCAGCCATAGTCCTGATAAGAGGCGTTTGTTTATCAGCCAGCTCGGTTGAGCTCTGTTCACAGGTCCATGACCTTGGGGAAGGGAGGGGGTGGAAGACAGAGCATCTTTGTTTCCATAGCATCCAAGGAGAAATTATAAGATGCATTAAGCAAAACAAAACAGTCAGATAAGTCAAACTTTGTTCAACTCATTCACAATAACCACATAAAATTGGTTCGAGGTCAGTAAGCACAACCAGAATAAAACATCAGGCGCACCTGATTATAAGGCTCACTGTCAATTGCTGAGAAAATTAAAGGATTTTTATTGCACCTTATAGTCCAAAAAATATGGTATTCTTGTGACATTAACCTGAAAAACACAACCAGAGTTGAAAAAAACTGAGAAAAAGACTAAACAAACAGCTGAGGTAAAACCAAAATTGGAGATAAAATGAACAGGAATGCAAAAGGACGACACAGACCAATGGAAAAGAAGACAAAGGAGCTCACGTGTCTGCACCCGCTGCCGCAGCATTCCCCTCTCTGAAGGTGGGCATACTCTGTGAACACCTCATACCCACTGGAAGGGTCGACGTACATCTGCTCCTTCGCCTGGGCATAATGAAGAAATGATTATTTAATTAGTATGACAAACAAACAGGCGCGCTGCTGTATGACCCCTGCGAACAAAAGCATTCACTGTACCTTTAGTCACCCAAAGGCGTGTGCAGTACGTAAGCAAACGTAATCTGAACATATACGCAGAGACAGATTGCTTTGGGTCAATGAAAAGAGGGGAGAAATGACCTCGATTCATAAAACCAGATGTAAGACAGTCCAATTCTCATGATGTTGCTAATTAATGCCTTTCGTATGCAATTCAGTAGGTGAGAATCTGTGACGATTAATCAACTGTGGTGGCTCTGTAATAGCTTTTGAAAGAATATTCTTAGGATTAATCGCTCATCTCGGAGAGCCACACACACCTTCTGTAGGTGAAATTCACTGAACTCCTCTGTCTTCCTTTAGGAAGTTAGAAAATGTCACCTCTCAGTCTGTTTCAAACTGAGAGTGCACTACTTGGTGAGCTCTGACAGCTCACAAAGGCAAAAAGGCCTCGGGCCCTTTGGGTGACACGGCCTGTCATTTCACATGCCGTTGCAGGGCCACATAATGAAGCTGGCAGTACTGGGCCTTCCTGGTATTGTGCTCTTCCCACCCAGGCCCCACCACTCTCCTCAGGTCGCAGCCAACTTGTCTCAACTTCATCCTCAGTCAGAAGCGCAATATTTACAGCAGATAAGCCTTAAAGGCTCGAAGGCGACACCTTTTCACCACTGTCGTCAGCACACAGCTCTCCGACTTGGTTTGATGGAGGAGGCAGTAAGAGCTGGTGAATATGATGGATGTGTGGGGGAAATAACAGGACTTTATCACAAAACCTGGGAGGGAGTTGTTACACAAAGCTCAAAGCTCTATAACAAAACTGACAGACACTCACACACATTATCGCCCAGCAGCGGGCGACAATAATCTAGATTAGGGAACCCCAGGAACAGCTGGAGTTGTACTGATTGTGTTGTTGCAATGCAGGGTTCTCCAGGGAAAACTTGTCCTGGTCTTGGCACTAATGAGGACGCTTTTTTGATTTATACCACCCACCCAAACATTGACTAGACATAACGCCCCCATGGTAATAGTGTTCACAAAGAGCAGTGGTTTCTCTCAGCAGGACGGTGCACCTCGAGTAGCAACCCTGCAAAAAGCCAAAGCCAGACATTAACAAGGCCTGCAGACACCCAAGATCCCAATCAGGGAACAAACCTAATGGAAATGACCAAGGTAATATAAGGTAGGAGGTTTTATTTGACGCGGAGGCATGGCTTATAGTTGTGTAGTAGTGACTTTAGAAGAACAGAGAGGAAAAGAGAGACATTCAGCTGTAGTCCTATAGGGTCCATGCAAAAGTGAGCTAAAGAGGGGCAAGGGATTAGTATTTTATTAAATTTAGATTACAGCAAAATAGAATTTTGCAGAGCCCTTAAATCATGGACCATGTCCTGAGGATAGATGAGTTTTATGTCTGCCATATAACAATACGATGATTCAGTATTCTTAGTATTTATTTATTTATTTATTTAGAGCTAATGTGTCTTTAAAATGTTAAATGAATCAGGTACTCTTCAAGATGGTTTTAAATACCTTTACTTTTTTATTTCCTGATATCTGATGCATCATCATATAAAGCCTTGAAAAAGTATTGCACTTTTCCACATTTTGTCACTTAGAACCACAAACCTCAAAGGATTTTACGGAGATTTGTGACCAATACAAGCAAGCACATATTTGTGAAGAGGAAGGAAAGTGACGATGGTTGTCATAACTCTTTTCACACATAAAAATCTGAAAAGTACGGCTGTATTTGTACTGAGCACTCTTACTGCACTAATAAAGCAACAAATTGCCTTTAGAAGTCACTGTATGTTATTTATTATCTGTATAACTATGCTGTTCTGTGAAGGCCTTAGATTTGTCTCAGAGTAGTGATTAAACAGCATCATGAAGACCAAGGAACACACAAAACAGGTCATGGATAACGTTTTTTTTAGAATTTTAAAGCAGTTATAAAGCAATACCAAGGCTTTGAACATCTCACAGAGTTCTGTTTAACCATCTGAAAATGGAAATCTGCAAACCTTCTGAGACATGGCCGTCCACCTAAACTGACAGGTTGAGCAAGGAGAGCATTAATCTGAGAAGCAGCCAAGAAGCTCCATGATAACTGGATGAGCTGCAGAGATTCACAGGGCAGATGGAAGTATCTGTCGAGAGGACAACTAGTAGTGATGTACTCCACAAATCTGGCCTTTATGGAAGAGGGGCAAGAAGGAAGAAGTCCAGCTTGCAGATGCAAGAGACATAACAAACACGTGGAAGAAGGTGCTCTGGTTGAATAAACCAAAACAGAATATTTGGCCTGAATGCAAAACTCTGTGTGGCTGAAAACTAACACTGCACGTCACAATTTCTGAGAAACATGGTGGAGGCAGCACCATGCTGTGGGGATGTTTTCTTCAGCAGGGGCAGGAAAGCTGGTCGGGGGTGATGAAGAAATGAATGAAGCTAAATATCAGAAAATAAGCATTGATAAGAATTTCTTTGCAATGACCGTGGAGGAGGTCATGACATTTTAAGTTGCAGATAGAGTTCTCATCTCAGCCGATCCGTGTGCTCTGTTTACTGTGAGATGACGCCAGTGTTTAGACTGCAGCACTGATAAACTCATTCCACTGAGAGCTTAAAGCTCGACAGCTGTCTCGTGCCTTCAGTCTGAAGTTAATCAGCTCGGCTGGTTGCAGAATGACCCCTTTCATTGTAATAAAAGACACAAAATTACAAGTTGGGTTTTCTAGTCTCACTTTATTTTTTTTTCCATAGAAAAGTAGTTTACTTTTTCTATGACACTAAATACAGGGCAATTGTGGAAGAAAACCTGTTAGAGGCTGCAAAAGACTTGAGACTGGGGTGGAGGTTCACCTTGCAGCTGGACGATGACCCAAAACATCCAGCCAGACCTAAACCCAACTGAGAATCTGCGGCAAGACTTGAAAATTGATGTTCACAGACTCTTTATGCAGTCTGACAGAAGACTGAGCAAAATTTCAGACCTCTAGATGTGCACGACTGGTAGAGATAGACCCAACATATTTGCAGCTGTAACTGCAGGGGAATGTGGTTCTGCATATGACTCAGGGGACACAAGACAAACCCAGTTTCAGATTTTTATATATTAAAAAAAAAAAAATCCTTCAACTTCACAATGATGCACCACTTTCTTCTATCCAATAAATCCCCAGGAAAATATTTTGAATCTTTTTACTAAATGTATGAATACTTTTTAAATGCACCGTGTTTATATGAGTATCATCATATATTAATATTGTCATAAATATTAGTATTCTCATATCATCATTAACGTTAATCATATAGGTATCTAATATGTCCCAATAACAATACTACTATTGTCATACTTTTATTTTCTTTGGCATAAATTATGCTTCGTTTTCCTAATTCGTATGGTTATCAAATTGACTCATCAAATTTCAGTTTGTCCTAAAATATTCCAAAGAAGAGGATTTGGGAGAAAAATCCCACTGTTAGTACAGAAGTTGGACAAATAGCTAAATCGTATTAACATGTTTCACTTCCTGTTTGAATGTCCAGTATCATTCACATATTTTCTAAAAATTTACAAAAAAAGCAAGAAAAAAACTGCTAAAATTAGCCTGTTTTTATTGTGGGTACAAAAACCAGTCAAATTAAATTTCATGTTAGTTTAGCTCAAAGCTTTAAAGAGCCACAGACGAGGGACTAAAGAGCTGCATGTGGCCCCTGAACCACAGGTTGCAGACCCCTGGACTATACAAACACTAACAAGGTCACAATGAGGCAGATGACTTCAACTTGTTTTTTACTACCTACAATATTTTATGACTATTTTGTTACAACTATAATGAAATACTGGGAATTATTTTTGATCTTTGGAGAGGTCCCAACCCCAACTTTGGGAACCAGTGCTTTGGTTAAATGCTAATATTGTGTGCTTTCTAATCAGTCGCCTATCTTAAAGAAGTCTGAAGTCTTTAAAACCCTACCAGGCATGCCTCTCTGTGGATTCTGTGGATCTGTAGCTCTTCTTCTGTGAAGTTTTGGGACGTCTTGGTGTCTCTGTCTGTCCCCTCACCTGCAGCAGACCTGTCCTCAGTGATCTGCAGCTTCCGGCTGTCTCTCCCTCCAAAAGAGCTCCTCTCCTCTGACAGACTCATCCTCAGGAGGAGTTTTTGAAGCTGATGGAGGAGGATCAGTCTGCTCACAAACATGTCGCATGGACAGTTTCTGTAAAACAGGCTCCTGAAACAACTCACTCTGGAACGTTGTCAGTCAAAAACATCCTTTTGGCATTTTTTTCTTAATAACTTACACGAGTAGAGCCTGTCTGAGCAGAAGGTTTAGTTTATGTCTCCTCCTCCTCCTTACGCAGCAGGAGTGTTTACTTTCTGCTCTGCCTCTGGTTCCATTAGTCTCATGAGGCCAGAACTCATCCACGAGACTACACAGCGCCTCTGCTGTTTCACTGCTGCCACCAAACTACCACATGGTGGGAAATTATTTTACTGACACAAGCAGAACAAAACAAACGCTATATTTTGTGTCACATGCTAAAACATAAATGGTAAAACTACAGGACATAATGTGTGTTGTTTAGTTTCAAACTTAACCTTTTGTTCTGCTAGATTAATCCTTTAGCTCCAGTTTATTTTTATTTTTAATCTTTTTAACATGGATTTGCAAATTTTAGCTTTTAGTTACAGATTAGCTCAATTAAGCTTTAGGATACAGTTTCTCATTTTGGCTTTTGGTAAAAGTTTAGCTACTTTTGACTTTTAATTACAGTTTAGTTACTTTCAGCTTGTAATTTTTAGCTTTTATGAAATGTTTATTTTTTTTTTTTTACAAAATCAGCATTTAGATGCTGTTTTGCAAACTTTAGCTTTTAGCAAAAGTTTTGTTAATTTTAGCAATTAGCTATCGTTCTGCAATTTAATTTTCAGCTACAGTTTTGCTGCTGTTTATTAAAAAACAAATTTTAGCTTTTGTCAATGATTTAGCTAAATTAGCATTTAGATACTTTTTTTGCTTTTATTTGCTTTAAGCAACAATTAGGTTAACGTTATTTTTCTGAGAGTTGTAGCTCTTAGTAACAAATTTACTTGTTTTTATTTTTAAGTGACGATTTAGCAAATTTTAACTTTTGCTGACGGTTTTGCTAAATTAGCTTTCAGATACTGTTTTGCTCACTCTAGCTTTAATGAACAGTGTTGCTTATTTAAGCTTTTAGCTGCTGTTTAGCTGGGTTTAACTATTGTTTGCTTGTTTGAACTCAACAGTTCAGTAGAAATACTTTCTTTCTTTCTTTCTTTCTTTCTTTCTTTCTTTCTTTCTTTCTTTCTTTCTTTCTTTCTTTCTTTCTTTCTTTCTTTCTTTCTTTCTTCCTTTCAACAGATTTTAAATGCTATTTCACTGAGGGTTTTTTCTGCTGTTTCAGTAGGGTGAGAGTGGAGATGACTTCCTCTCGTCTGCTCAGAGCATTAAAAGTAATATATTCAAAAATAGACAAAAAGCAACCGTATGTCAGATTAAAAAAAAAGGGGTTTCATATATTTTCCAGGTCATGTTATGAACAGTTTTCATCGAAACTACTTTCTTACAAAGAGGCAGCTGCCAAAAAGAAGCAAAAAAAAAACAAAAAAAAACTGCTGACAGAGTTTTTTGTGCACCTTTAACATCCTGTTTTGAACATTTTCTTAATCCCACCTCTTAGTAAGTGCAGGGAGGTGAACTCAGACTCCTGAAAAGCCTTGTTTCTTCCTCTCCAAGAGCACAAAGCCATCTTATTTCCATGATATCAAAGTAACAGGGTGACTTGGACTTGGCCCTGCAAGGTTGATGAGTGAACATTAATGAGTCCTTTCAAGGTTATCCACCGCTGTAAGCCACCACTGATGATGTTTCTACTCTGAAGTGTGCTTAATGAAACCTGACAAGTGTCTTTTGACTGACATTGTGCGGTCAATTCACCCTGAGATAAATTACACAGCACTGGTAAAAACATTTGCATGCATAGCATGCAAATGTTTTTTTTTAATATTTAAAGCTGTATTTTTTTAAAGTCCAGTTATTCTTCTTGGAAGTATTTCGTTTTTCTTTTTTCTGCTTTATCTGGAATTTCTGCAGCCAAACATGATTGTCTTCTGCTGCAAAAAAATAAAATGAATAAAAAATGCCTGATATGTGTTGGATAAGAATGATATATACATGTTTACAATGCAGTAGACTCCAGAATCAATGGAAGATTTTGTGCTATCTCTGCTACAGGCTGCGTTCACTCCAAGATGCATTTTCCTTAAGGAAAACAGCTGGGCTGTATTTCATTTTAAGTGGTACTTCTGTCCAGCCAGGTAAATTGTGTGTGCCTCAGGTTGGTCAAATGGAGCTATGAATACAAAAGAGTCCATTTTTTATTTGAAATTGTTGTATTTACTTCCATAATGAACGTTTTTGGGTTTATTTGTTCTCCATTAAAAGTACCTTTCAACGTCTAACATCAAAGTCTCGTTCAGCGTTATACGTCCGTGTGTTTGTGTGCATCAGATTGTTCTCTTTGTTTGTCCCGATGACAACCAAACAGTCCTGCCATCATGATTTCATATGGATGCCTGAAGCAGAAAGCCCCAGTCTGCTGCCACTTAATTACCTTCCTGCGAGCCTGAAGAAATCTGGCTCGGATCCAGGCAGACTCTCTGGAGAAGCGTAAGGACTAAGCCACTGGTTTCAATTACTAAAAGGGACAAAACGCTGCTTTTGCAAACAAAAAAGTCTAACGGAACTTTCCTGCAAAACTTACTCGTATACTGCACATTTACATTGTTCAAGAGGAAAGCTTGAACGAAAGGTGTAAATGTCATACTGATAATCTATGCATACAATTCTGTGTGAAAAAAGTAATAAATATGATAAATACAATTCACTTTTACGTCCTCCTGTAGAAAGTTGTTATCCCCTGACTCCAAAAGGCTCAAGGAAGGTGAAATATTTTTGTATGTGTGCTGTTAAAATATCTCATGAACCACTGGAAGACTTTTACTGATCATAAACTGCCGCTGTCTAACGTGTTTGTGGCACGCACAACAGCTCTCACCACATTTCTTTTGTGCATCACAGTTGGATCTGTTTCCCACCGAGCGCCGCTGCTGTTGAGGGCAAAAGCCTTTGCCAAAGGACACATCAGAAGTGATGACGATGGAGGGGCTAATATTCATCTTTGGTTTCCTCCGATCAAACTGATTAGATTGTGAAAGTGCAGCTTGAGGTTCATGGTGACTTTACAGCACATTCCACATAAAAAAAAAAACATTTTCAGATTCTCTTTGTTTCTTTGAAAGCTTCACTTTAAATGACATTAATTTATACAATCACTTTATTCGACTTTGTGGTTTTTATTTACACACGAGATGATGCACTACCTGGTTGTTTATCTATATTTAATATCCCACCGTCGACGTCACATGGCACCACATGTAATGAAAAGAAAACAATTCTTTGGATTAGAAAGAACATTTAACGTAAAAACTATGGTAGCTAAAAAAAAAACCCCACTGAAACATTTGATTTCTTTAAATTAAAATAATGTGAAAAAGATGTTTTAATTTATATAGATTTAATCCAAATGTATAAATCAGAGGTGCAACTTGCTGATTATTTTTAACACCTGTTGCCAAATGAGAATGGAAATACTGTTTTTGTCTGCGTGTGTCTAGGTGTTTAATCTGTCTGTTAGCAAAATAGCTCATGAACCAGTAGGATGATTTTAATGAAACTCTCCGAAAGTAAGAACTGAATGTACACCTGCAACTTAATAACTTTTGGAGTCAAGTCCCACTTTAAGTTGGCCACCACCGGCAAATGACCTTTAAAAGCACAAAACTGGCTATAACTCAGTTAATTTTACAGCTGTTGCCCTAAAAATTGATATGAAAGTAGACGAGAGTCATACTCATCTCATACTGTGGGTGAAATGACATCTTGTAAGATCTCACATTAATTCCTGAGATCATCTTCTGCATAAGGAGATTTTAGTTTATATCTCTGGCATGAAAGTCAGTGGGTGACATGATTCCCTTCAAGAAGTGTTGAGCTTTTAATTGTCAGTTTATGTTTAACTTAGCAGTCATTTGATTATTTGTAGTATCAAAAGTTTAGACAGAACTTTTCAAGCAAGTGACCCTTTCACATTGTCTCATTTAATAATAAAATTAAAACATAAAGTATGAATTACCCAAGTATCCTGATGCATGCTCGACAATACAGGTAGAAAAATCTAAAAAAGTTAAGTCTGGTCCTCTGGACATTCAAAAAAACAAAACAAAGCAAAACAAACAAACAAACAAACAAATGTAGAAACGTTTCGTCTTTCAGCCAAAAGACTTCTTCTGTTGAATTACACAAGGTTGCCAAAAAGAGAAATCTTGACACAGTGATATTAAAACGTATTTAAAAAGAATGTTTTGACCAGTTTGTGGCAACTTAAATGTTTTTGCTATTGTCTATCCATTATTTTCGGCTTGCTCTGGATCCTGGAGTCGGGTCTCGGGGGCAGCAGCTTGAGCAGGGAGGCCCTGACACCTTTTTCTACAGCCACTTCTTCCAGCTCTTCTGGGAGGATTCCAAGGTGTTCCCAAGCCAACCAAGAGACGTAGTCTCTCCATCGTGTCTTGGATCTTTTCCAAGGTCACCTCCCTGCTGGACATGCCCAGGACACCTCCCTGGGAAGATGTCCAGGGAGCATCCTCCTTTCGACGTGGAGGAGCAGCGGCTCCATTCAGTCAACCTCACGCTCCATTGACCTTTGTACAGTTACTGATGCACATGCTCAAAGGCAGTATTCTGTGATGCATCGGGATCTAGAAATATTCACGCCTGCTTCCGGTTTGTTGAAATACACTTCCCTTAGCAAAAAGTAGTTTATTTAAGTGTACTACAAGTATACTTATTTTACACTAAAAATGAGGAAGTGTACTTAAAGTTTACTTTTTATAAACTTTATTTGATATACTTAAAAATAGTATAAAAATGTCCCAATTTAGTCCAAACAAGTATTAAATCGGTATACTTTCTAGTACACTACAAGTATGGTGTGTAGTATACTTGATATACTTAACTTAAAGTATACTTGCAAAAATTAACTTCAAATGTACTACTTTTTGTTAAGGGTTGGTCTATATCAGTATCTATTCTTGTATGTCAGCTGTGCTCTGCAATCATTTTGACACCTGGCAACGAGGACGCTGCACCATAAAATACCAGTAAAACTCAATTTTGAATATTTTTGTACATAAGAATCAATAAAAAAAACAAGTTTAGTGGACCAAAAGACTAGAGTTGAACGACAACCTTGAATCCCAAAAGTAGCCATGAATGTATTTTCAATGCCTGATTTTATGCATTTAAAAAGATCACTTCTTATTGTCAATGTCTCGAATAAAATAATAAGTTTATTAGTTTTTATACATTTTATATGGCCTGTAAATGGACTGTACTTGTATAGCACCTTATCAAGACACTCAAAGCACTTTACACTACATCTGTGTCCTCATTAACCCATTCATACAGCACTCTCCTAGATCTCTATAAAGCTAATAGAACAAATTATTCTAAAGAGAATCAGAGCTTTATCACATTCATACACCGATGGGACACACATAGGAGGCATTGAGGGGTTCAGTGTCTTGCCCAGGGACACTTCAACATGTAACTGCTGGTGGATTTGAACCCCAAACTCTTGCATTGGAGGACAACAGCTCTAACTACTCAGCCACAGCTGCCCATGTGGCACACTGCCTAAAATCTATAAATATACTTTATTCCAAAATAAAAAAGGGTTTTCAAACTTTTGAATACTACTTAAATTTGTAATATTGTTCCACATTTTCCCAATAGAGCACTTCTCTCTCACACTGCAGGTTTACTCACGGTTCCTAGAGTTTCCAAAAGCAGAATGGGAGATAGAGCTTTCAGTTATCAGGCTTCTCTCTTGTGGAACCAACTTCCAGTTTCTGTCCGTGAGGCTGACTGGGCTTAAGACTTTCCTTTTTGAATAAATCCTATAGTTAAGGCTGGCTTGTTATGCTGCTATAGGCTTAGACGACTGGAGGACAAATTGATCTTGTTTCCTTAAATGAATTGTTACAATTAAATAGTTTTCTTTTTTTTTCTTGTCCTGTCTGGCATTGTGGCACTCAGAATTAATGTTTGAGTGTCAAGGTGATGCCCAACAGATTGACTTTCACAAGCAGAGCACTATGGCTGGCCTTAATGCTCCACTGGATATATAAATAAAACTTTATTAGAATTTGCTTTGGGTTTGTTTCAGATGTAATGGACATGAGGATGAAAAAACTAAGAAGAAAACAAAGCAGAAAAGTTAAAAGGGAAAGCATGAGATAGGAATAGAGGAGAGAGAGGTATAAAGAGAACACAAATCAACATCATTGAAGTCTGCCTCTAGACCTGCGGAAAGAGAAAAAAGACAAAACCGAGAAATCACAACAACAAACAGCATATATAATGATACTTATAACATCATTAGAAAGTATTTTATACAGTACATGATAATACAAGATGTATTTAGTGGCCACCACAACCCAATTGAGTGTGTATCTGATAAACACCTGAATCTAAACACCTGTGTGAGCATGCTTATCACTATAAGGTTTCTCCATGTGAATTGTTACAATTAAATAGTTTTCATTTGATACTATTTCTATCTTAACATGTGATTCTGGGCCTGCCATTGTGTATTTGTTCCTCCTTCCTGCTCCTCTCAAACCCAGCCAGTTGAAGCAGATGGCCGTCTTGCTGGTTCTGCTAAAGGTTTCTTCCTCATGAGGGAGTTTTTACTTCCCACTGTTACCTTTCTGCTTTCTCAAAATGAGAGTCTGCAATGAAGTTAAACTCAAAGCAGTCTGCTCCTCAGATAAATAATATTAACGTGCTTTTAATGTAGATGAGTGTTTCTGTTCGGTGCCCTGAGACGACTTCTGTTGTGACTTTGCGCTTTATAAATAAACTGGATTGAATTAATTTTGACCATTGACCACTGAAAGAGCTGTCCAGTAGAGCTGAGGTAAACCTTCCTCTGAAATGTAATGAGGTGTCAGTAAAAAGTTCTAAACTCTAAGATTTTACAGCAGTCTCATTAATAGTCTCATTCCCTCACAGCACGTTGGGAGCCTCCAGGTAAAGCCTTCTGCTGCCACAGGCATTCAACTGATGGGAAAACTTTATTTTTGACTTTTTATTTCTTTTTTTACAGAAGCTCGGGTCCGTGCTAAACAGAATGTTGTTCCGGTCACGTTGAGTGGAAGCGGCGGCGCAAGGTGCGCGTCTGACGCGCTGACGTCACCGAGTCTTTTGACAGCACTTCCTGGAGTGGCGTTTGTTGTGGGAAACCGAGCTGCTGGAGGGAGGCGGCGGAGGCGGCGAGGGGGATTTAGGCCACGTAAACGACAAGAACGACGGCACGAACTCCCCACCTCGAAGCATGTGGTCGCGGCTGCAGCCGCCGCCTTCTCTGACCGGTATCAGATGAGCCGGAGGAGTGACGGTTCCGACTGAGGAAGAAGGACGAGTTAAAAAAAACAAACAACAATTCACAGACAGACCTGAGAGCCTCCGACACGGAGCTGTCGCGATGCTGTGACCAAACCATGGACAGCCGGATAAAGTAAGACCTCCAGAGTTTCTGTTTAGATTTATCTGCGGTCCGTTTGGACGGGTCGAGCTAGCGGCTAATGTTCGGCTGCGGCTCCGTTAACCCGGAGCTGCACGTCGGCGGTAACTCGAGCCATCATCTCCAGCTTTAAGAGCCAGGCCAGCTGGCTGTGCAACATTTGGGTCAGTGTGGCCGTCTACCACGACCACCAGCTTTGTCAGCCAAGCTTTAAAGTAATATTCAGTCCAGTAAGACTGGATTCTGTTGACATTTCCTGCCAAGTCTTTAAAAAAGTAGGTCAAATTACAGACTTTAATGGTACTGAACACACAGCCGTGTTGGACATCGACGTCCCTCATTTCCTCCAAGTTAACAGCGTTTGATTCCTTTTTCAGGGAGAACCCAGAAAGAACATTTGATCTGGTGCTGCAAGTGTCCTGTCCAACATCTGAACATGAGGGTAGGTGTCTTCATCCTATATGTGTCTCCTGTCTTCCTGTTATAATAAACGTGCAAATAATCACATAAATGCAAAGTTTATTTTCAGCAAACAACTAAAAAGGACAGGATGATCAGCTGTTTTGGGTTGTCAAGCAGGAAATCAACTTTTGTGGCGCTTTACTTGGATAGTTCGGCTTTAGTTGTCAACTTTATTTACTCATCACTTTTACCAGCTTTAGGAAAGCAACACTTTTTAAGGCAGGGTTATTCAACTGGTGGCCCAGGGGCCAACTCAGACCCATGGCTGAGCTCACTTTGACCCATCAATGGGTTCATTTTTTAAATAAAACTAGATTTTAAACCATAAAACAACTTACTTAATAACAATAACTGCTGAATATCCGGCCCCTTAGCAACTGTGGCCCCCGGCGCAATTTAGTTGAAATGCCCTGTTTTAAGGCCTATCACTTCTTACCGTAGAAATATCGTTATACACTTGTAGTCTCATGCGATATCCTGAAATGTCACATTCAGGGGATGTGTTGTGGACGTTTTTCAGCTACGCCGCATAATATTTCAGCAAAATATCTTTAAAGTTGACAGTTATATTAATTTTTATTCTTGCTAATGCTGATTAGCTGTGGTGGCTGTTTTAAATTGAATTAACTTTAAAAGATAATCTGTTGGAGACGTTCGTCCGGTGATTACTTTTATGAAAGTTTTATTAAAGTTGTTCATGTGATTTTTTGCTAACAGTCAAAGTACAATTTTTGGCGGTGGTGGTTTCTAACCATAGATTGTGGTTTATTATATAGTTTATTTAGGTCATTTTGAAGTCTGTGCTAGGCGCATTAGCTTTAAAAAAGTGTTTATTCAAAACATTCATGGTAAACATTAATGTCTTACAATTTCTGAAAAGTGAGCGTTTGCTGTAAATTTACGTCCGTTGTGATTTGGTTGTTGGTCAGTCAAAACACAAAGTACACCTTGTGTGCATGAGAATATAGCACCGTAAACTCCTGCATTTAATGAGTATTATTATATATATTTTTAATTTTATAATTATTTTACCCTTTTCTTAATGTACTAGCCTAAAGATGTCAAATAAAAACTAATGTTTTAGGTCCCAGCGTTCATTTTGATGAAACGCGTGTTAGTTTGATGAGTTTTATTCGGTGCTTGTAAAAATGATTGTTTTGACCTGGTTTGTAATTACTGTCGTTGTTAACCGTGCAGCCGGGGTGCCGTGTAATGTTGACTGGATTCTCACATTATTTAAAGTTAAGACGTCAAGCGTCACAGAACTTTGCTGCCCGACTCAACCATTATTATCTCTGTTGTGTTATTATGTGTTTGTAAGATTTAGCGTGTGCTTTGCAGCAACAGGTTCAAATATGTCCAGCTGGAATAAAATCGCTATCGGAGACCTTTCCGTTAGCGTTGTGTGATCCTCATGAAATCTGTTTGATTGATTTGGTTTAAGTTCAAGATTGTGGGCATTTCTCTTGCAACTGTTACCCACCAGAGATAGTTTTATCAATCAAATATCAGATTAAGAAAGCTGCTTTGTTTGTTCCGTTTGCACTATTAGCTGTAGTTGCCAGAACCTTTCTGGGAAATGACCAAGGCCAAAGAAGAACACTGCGTTATACCTTTTCATGAACATGGGAAATAAAGCAACCATAATTTCACATCAGTATCCAGTGTCCTTCGTAAGTCGAATGTCATGCAAAAACACTTTCACCGCATGCTACACTGGCTCGTTTCGTTTGCCCTCTCAGTGCTGAATTTAAAGAGGTGTTATTGGATGGTTCGGTGGTGCAGCTGCTGAGCTGACGAGGGAAGGCTGGACGTTGTCCTTGGATCTAGCTCTCATATTGGATTTTAAACCAAACTCGTAAACCGCCGAATCGCACAGTAATAACTGACTTCCTCTACGTATGAGCCGGGGTCAGACTCATATCCGGACTCGCGTTCCCTTGAGCGAAGCTGCAAGTGCAACGTTTGAATTGAACGCTCATGCTCCATTATTTGACTGAAGGTTTTCTTTCTCCGGTTAGGTTTTAAACAAACCTGTTGGGGAAGCTGCTAGTCTTTACTGTAGGTTTCTGTCAGGAGGCACTTACGGTTGTGGTTGACTGCCTTTTTTTGTTGTTGTTTTTTCGAGAAACGGTTTCATTTACTCCCAATGAGGAATTAAGCACTTCTCACTGAGTATCTGTTTCACTTCCATTGACTTGGCTTTAAAATATATATTTTTAAATTATTTTGCGTTCGTCTTAATGCTCTGCTGAGCTGAATGGTTTTCATCATATGAGTCATAATTGACAGGTTTTGGTCATGCTGTGAAACCTCCACACAGTCACTCACCACACACGAATACTGTTTCTCATACACTCAAACATGATCTTTATTTTTGCCAAAAAGTGCCACTTCATATTCACACATTATCTTCCCACTCCCTTAGAGAGGCAAACAAACAGTAGGGCGACCATGACGGACTATAATTAAATTGTCATAGCAACGTGATGTAGAAGATTTGAGCATTTGGAGAAGTGGCAGAAACTTGCTTGTAATTCTCACATCTCCTCGCTTCAGGGAATTTGTTTAATTTTAGATCAACGTTGGATGAATTTCAGTTGTTGAGAACTTCTCTTGTCAGTAATTTGGTTTACCCTGACGTGGTTTTAAGAGGTGTCCTCTTTGAGTGAACGAAAAGCTTGCTGTTTGCAGTGTTCTGCTGATGCTGCACGCCTGTTTTGCCCTTCTCACCACATCTTTGTCCTGCAGGATTAAAGGTAGATCCATGCAGGACCTCGAATCGATACCATTTGTGCATAAATGTAGTTTCCCATGTTCATATCAGCCATGAGCGAACTGCAAAGTTTAAAAGCCTGTACTAAAGTCATCTAAAATTATCTCAACCTTTTATCAGAACGGTCAGTTCATGTCTGAATTTCCTGTGTCATCTCAGTTTCACACTTTCTGCAGTCAGCATGCATACAACACCCACATATTTGCAGAGAGGCTGATAACGAGCCCACATTAAGTTTATGAACTCTACTCTTGGTAATCTCAGAGTATTTTATCCTCTGTAAAATAGCATTTTATTTTAAAATGTTACTATTTCTCAGTGGGACATTTAGGTGCTTTTAAGTAGCTCTTTCAGATATGAATAATGAATCAGTATATCTGTTTAATCGCTTAAATTTATGACAGTTTAGCAAAGACAAAACCCAAGATATGTTCAGAAGGAAAACAAGAATCGGATTCATAAAACTTAGCATTTATAATTAGGAACCACTGGACCATTAAAACAGGTCTCTCTTGTAAATGAGTCCTCGTGACTCAATGAGTCGAACCTGTATAAATAAAGGTTGAATGAATGAATCGTCTGGACATTTAATGCAGGAATGACATGTCAACATTAAACACAATGACTTTGATGACTCAAAGCTAACCCTTTTAGTAAAACATTTAGAAGTTACTGAAGTTTTATCTTCTTCCAGAAAATAAGGACAAATGTTAATATGATTTTTTTTTTTTTTTACATTTCCTTACAATTAATGCTACACAGTTTTTAAATAAGTCACATTATAAATACACTATTATTCAACCAGGATGTTCCTTGAAATTAAGACGGCACACAATTAGAGTCAGAGATTCTTTATTGTCATTCGCACCACATGTGGTACATGTGGTGGAGCGAAATTATGTACACAAGGTCCCAGTTACATCCAACAATAAAATGTATAAGAAAAACATTAATAAGATCTAAGATATGAACTAAAAAAACATCAACTAAAATACACTAAGCACTAATAGCATAAAAACATTACATTGAACAACAGCACGAACATGAGTCTGTGTGAGCAGATGAGCACGAATGAACACATCAACATGAAACAGATCAGCAGCAACATGAAACAGATCAGCAGCAACATGAAACAGATCAGCAGCAACATGATGTGATTTTTTTTTTTCACAGTGATTATTCTGGTTAGAGATTCATGAGTCTTAACAGCCTCAGGGTAGAAGCTGTTCCTCAGTCTAGTGGTTCTACACTTAATGCTCCTCAACCTCCTTCTTGAGGGGAGCGGGGCAAAAAGTGTGTGTGCTGGGTGAGTGGGGTCCTTCATGATGCAGGTGGCCCTCTTCCTGCATCTAGAGGTGTAGATGTCTGTGATGGTGGGGAGGCTGACTCCGACAGACTTCTGTGCAGCCTTCACCACTCTCTGCGAAGCTTTTCTTTCTGCAGCTGTGCAGCCTCCATGCCACACGTTGATGCTGGAGCACAGGATGCTCTCCACTGCACACCTGTAGAAGGAGGTGAGGACTGAACTTCCCAAACCAGCTCGTCTCAGCCGTTTGAGGAAGTGGAGTCTGAGTTTTCTTGATCAGGCTGGTGTTGTTGCTCCAGCTGAGGTTGTCATTCATGTGTACACCCAAGCACTTGTAGCTGGAGACCACTTCCACCGCAGATCCTCTTATGTTCGGGGGGGGGGGGGGGTGTAGGTGTGTTTGTTCCTTCTGAAGTCCACAATCGTCTCCTTTGTCTTCTTCACAGTGATGTGAAGGTTATTCTCTTTGCACCAGCTCTTACAGTCAAAATATAAATATTACAATTAAAATTAGGGTACGTGAACAAAATCAAACCAGTCAAAATGAACATGAAACAACCTAGTAGTACATCAAATATACCAAAGCTGTTACAACAAAAGTACAGTGATGTCCACAATGATTTTGTTCTGAAATTTAGAGATACACAAAACCTAAGTGACAAAGTACAGAGGAAGCAGCATTCATAAAGAAAAGGTTATTAAACACATTTCAAAATGTAGCCTAAAACATTTTTTTCTCCTGATTGCTAAATTAAAACAGGCCCTATTTTAATGTGAAAGGCCTAATCTAACTTCAGCTTCTTTTTCTTATACATGTTGAAGATGCACATTAAAAGAAAGACACTCATCCAGCCCAGTACTCAAATATTTGTAGAATGATTCTTATTTGATGGCCTCC